TTCAGCCATCTCTCGAACGGCTTCGCGCGACGGAGTGCTGCGAAGCTGCACCTGGCAGCGAATTGTACATGTGGGCTTGGACCGAACGTTTAGGGTTTAGGGTTTAGGGTTTCGGGTTTGGGGTTTAGGGTTTAGGGTTTAGGGTTTGGGGTTTAGGGGTTATATGAGTATTTCCCAAATTAGGGGTAGCCCCTTTTAGCCCCCCAAAATGGAATACATAAAAAACCCATTAAAGCACCCCGCAAGAAGGGCATCCCCCATTTTCGGAAACCCCCTATGTGGGCCTGGACCGACCGATCAGTCTAGCTCTTGTAAGAGTGTTAGGGTTTAGGGTTTAGGGTTTAGGGTTTAGGGTTTAGGGATATCGTTTTGACTCGAGTCGACAGCATGGTGCTTGCCGAAGTCTTCTTGATGACGTTCAGGCGACGATCCGTGCGCTGAACTTCTGCGACACCCGTGCCGCTTGGGCAGCACCTGGCCTTTGCCTGGAAAACTTCCCTTATACAGCGGTGAGTTCGAGTACGATCACACACAGACACAGATGCCACCCCCGTGCCTCGTGTCCAGCAGTGGTCTCTGCAGCAGGGTAAGGGTCGAGGGCCCAGCGGACATCATGGTAGAGAAGCTTCAAGAGATTCGGTTTCCAGCGTGTTTTTCTGGCCATGTTACGGTATGTCTTTCCTTCAAAACGTCAACTTCTTGGTCCTTGGGTTCGAACAGGGCCCAACCACGACCCCCTTAACCAAAGTTCGTGCGGCCAGGTCATCAACAAGGACCGCTTCCACGCGATCCTGAAGCAGCGCCTCGGTTACTGAAGTCGGCTCCCCTTAAAGGTGCCGTTTGCATAATCGGAGTCATTATGAAGGGGTCCCCCCCCTCCCGCTCCAACGCAAAAAAAAGCGAGAGACCCCCAATTCACAGAAAGCACCCGCATGGGGTTTGCCTTTTTTTGTGGTGCAGGACCCGAAACTTCACAGGCGTGAATAAGCCCTAAAAGCCCCCTAAAGTCCCAGTCTCCAAGCCCTAATCCTGCTCGAGGGCTCATGTGCTGCAACCTGGGACAGGAGGTCGTGCGGAGCGAAAGTCAACTGAGCCCTAAACCCTAAACTAGGTGAGGTTGCTTCCGTCCAGCGACAGAACCCGAACACTTGGAAGAAGGTTCTGCAAGGGCAGTCTTCTTCGCCAAGGAACCAGGCAAAACCTCAGTGCGAGGTTGTTCTGGGGCAGAATGGGCTACGTCGGACCTGAAGACTGTTCCACAGTTTTCACGGCCATGAAGAAGGCCCTTGACAGTCCGGTAGCCCCATCACGGCGCCCTGGGTCCTCTTTCTGCCCCGGTGTCGTGGAATCACTGAAGCTGTGTGTGAGTGCGCGGGAGCTCGAAATCCAGGCCGCCCAGGCCTGCCTCCAGGCCTGGCCCGTGCACATCCAAGGCCTAGGAACAAGGCACATAGTTGCCGGGTGTTGGTGTGCGCGTGCAAGCCATGTAGTGACAGTGGTCGCCACAGCCAACTCCTTTGCAGCCAGGTTGGCGCAACCCCGGTCTGTGCAAAAAGGTTGCTGCAGGTCCTGAAAGGTTCCTAAGGTTGTCAGAAGTTGTGACATTGAATCCAGTTAGTTTTGTAGGGAGGGGATAGCTGTTGCGCGGGGTGCAGCAGCTCGCCGCGAGGGGTGCTCGGGTTGACCCGGCACCCCAAAGCCTCCAACAGGTTTCGAACAGGGCTCGCGCGGACGCTGCTTAGCAACTGGCCATGGTTGCTCGACTCCTGCCTCTTCGGTGGACTCTTTCCTGTGGCCTGTTGAGGAATGCGTGTGATGTGCTCTAGTCAGAATTTTACAAGGGCGTCTGCAGCTTGCAATGCCACATTGCCAACCAGTGTGCTAGCTGGCCGGCCCTTTTGGTACGGCAGGTTCCTTTTCCGCTGCAGATATCTCTGATCATCGCTGCCTCTGCTCGCTGCGCCAGGTTACACCAGTGCATTTGGCTTTGTGCAGGGATATGGGGTGCGCTTCCAATGCCTGTTACACACCAAGCCCTCTCTGACAACTGATTGCATTCACATTGTCATGGTCGGCGCCAGATCTTGTGGCCTTCCTAGTCTGTTGAACAATGCATCTCCCCTGGCGACGACCTGGAAAGGCTAGAAGAGACCGGTGGAGAAATTGGAGGGGTGCGGGAGCGCGAGCACACACGCTGGTTCGCTCGTGCCATCTGCAGTGCCTTTGTACGTGGCTATTTTGGCTCATGAGCTTTTTCTCTCGCAAGGCAAAGACTTGCTTTTCTACGGCTTCTCCGAATGTAAATGTCAGGGTGAAAAGTGGATCAAGTGTTGAACGCACGTTTCTGGCAAAGCGATTTTTGGCTTCAAAAGGACGGAACGCACTTTGCTCAACACCATACGCAGGCAAAAGTCGAAAATAGCACAAGTGAGCTTGTTTGCACGCCGGGGGAGGGCGGGGGAGGGGGGGGGGGGGCTCAAAAAACAGCCGGGCAGGTTAAAAGCAAAATTCGTTGCTCTAAATAAAGCTACCCCTCGTAGGCAACAGTGCAGAACACTTTGTATCAACAAATCGCATTTTTATTATGGTTCCAAGCAAGTCCTGGCACCCATCCCAGTTGTTGGGATTTAGGGTTAGGACTTAGGATTGAGGTTGTGCAAAGGGGTAGCCTCGGCCCTTTTCGGGCCTTCGGCACAGGCCGGCCAAGCTCGCTCAAAACCAGCAAGTGCATGAGTTGGTTTTTTTCCTTTGTTCAAGCCACGCTTCGAGGCTTGGGTAGCCTCGGCCCTTACCGGATCTTCGGCAGTGAGGGCCCCAATTCGAAACTGGAAAGTTTTTGAGGTGGTAACTTTGTTACAGGCAGAAGCATCGGCGTATGAGAAAAGCAATCAATTAACCCTAACCCCTAACTGGGTGGCCGGGGTGGGATGACAAGCAATGCAAGCGCAGCCTGAGGCGTTTCACCCTCCCAGCGTGCGACCTCGCCTGACACACCCTAAGCCTAGAGCCCAAGCCCAAATCCCTCAACCTTCAACCCCCTAAACCCTATACCCTCAACCCTAAACCTACCCTTCCAGTGGCCCTGCTATCGGCTTTGTGCATGCCTTGGTCTTGGCGTCCGAAACCCTGAGCACCGAGACCCAAAGGGCTTAGGATCTAGAGTTTAGGGCTTAGAGACCCAAACGTTTTTGATTTAATCTAGAGTTTAGGGCTTGTAGACCCAAAACGTTGAGAGTTTGAGGCTTGAATGTAAGCAGCCCAAAAAGGGAGCCCTTATTCTAGTATGGTGACTGAGCTACCCAGGCACCCGAAGGAACGGGCGCGGTTCGAGAGAATCGCCCAGGACGGAGGGGGGGGTAAGCGGCCCTCCGAGCCCCGAAGCCGCTTTGGGTTTCGGGTTTCGGGTTTCGGGTTTCGGGTTTCGGGTTTCGGGTTTCGGGTTTCGGGTTCAGCTATGGAGTAGGGTGGCTTCGTGTTCATCAGCCGAAAGCATGAGTGTTGTTTATTTGCGCTTGCTTGAGCTCCTCTAAGGTGTGTAGGGGTCCTTTTTGATGGGGTTTGGGGTTTGGGGTTTAGGTTTAGGGCTGAGGGCTTGGGGTCAAGGGTCTAGGGTCTAGGGTTTAGGGTTTAGTGTTTAGGGTTTATGGTTTAGGGTTTAGTGTTATTCCACCCCAAACGTGAGCGCGCTAAAGCTGACTTTTGGGCCGTATTTGGGGTTGGGAGACACTGAAGCTCGAAAATCCAGGGCTAGTCGTGCCGAAGTCTTAAGCCCTCAAAGCTTTGAAGCCCTAAATCCTAAACCCGAAGCCCCGAGGCCTGAAGACCCTAAGCCCGGAAGCTGTGATGCCCTCAAGCCCCAAAGCCTTAAATGTCCTGAAGTGGGTGGTTTCTAAACTAGGGTTCCTGAGGATATGTATAAGTGGTACTATATAGGAGACCCCAAAAGGGACCAAATATAGTTGATCCTTAGCCCTTAGCCCTAAACCCTAAACCCTAAACCCTAAACCCCGTATCGAGAGCCACCCAAGCCCTAAGCAGGAGCGCCGGGCGAGCCTGGAGAAGACCAAGTCAATTCTTCGCCCCGGCCCCGAGGCCTCCGCCCACTTCCCTCTTCCCTGCGAGAACTAGGGTTCGGGCTTGGGGTTTAGGGTATGGGGTTTAGGGTTTGGGGTTTAGGGTTAGGGTTTAGGGTTCCGGGTTTGGCTAACCCAACAACTAAGAATCGTTCCGACCCCTCTATTCTGTCCGGGTGTTGCGAGGGCCTGGAGGGTGCTTCTGTTGGCTTCCGGCGACTGAGCCGAGGGGCTAGTTGAAGGTTTGTGGAGTAGTTGTAAGCCCTAAACCCTAAACCCTAAAGCCCCAAAACCCTAAATCCCAAAACCCAAAACTCTAAGCCCTAAGCCCTAAGCAGGAGAGTTTCCTTCTCGTAGTCCTCCTTGTCGCCACCCATGAACCTCCAAGAAGGGTCAAAGGGTTCCACCCTGAGAAAAACGAAGGTTGTACGCCTGGAGGGTTTGCAGGGTTTTTAGGCCTTTTGGGTTTATAGGGTTTATAGGATGGTTTATAGACTTTTTTGAGTTTATAGGGTTTATAGTGTTTATGGGGTTTATAAGCTTTAAAGGACAGGCTTTACAGGGTCCACAGGGTTTATAGGGTTTAGGGCTTTTGGAAGCATTGTTTGGGGCATATTGTAGGAGCCCTCGTTGGGAACAACCTTCGGGTCACGAGCTTGGAAGCCTTGAGCTCAGGTTGTAGCTTCTAGGGTTGAATTGGGGTTTGAGGGGTTTAGGTTCCTTCTACTAGCAGTCCTTAATCGGGATTATGGTACACTATTACAATCTCTATCAAGGACTTTTAGTATAAGAGGTAGCACCAACCCTAAACCCTATACCCTATACCCTAAACCCTAAACCCTAAACCCTAAACCCTAAACCCTAAACCCTAAACTATTAACCCTTTTAACCCTATTCATCCTATTAACCCTATTAACCCTATTAACCCTACTAACCCTATTAACCCTATTAACCGTATTAACCCTATTAACCCTATTAACCCTATTAACCCTATTAACCCTATTAACCCTAGTAACCCTATTAACCCTATGAACCCTATGAACCCTATTAGCGCTATTAACCCTATCAACCCGATTAACGCTATTAACGCTATAACCCTAAACCCTAAACCCTAAACCCTGAACCCTGAACCCTAAACCCTAAACCCTAAACCCTAAACCCTAAACCCTAAACCCTAAACCCTAAACCCTAAACCCTAAACCCTAAACCCCTCAAAAAGCTAGAAGACCCTGCGCAAGTCGCCCCACCGCCCCCCGGGCCCAGAAAGAGCTGCGTCCAGCTGCGGCCAACGCGCAGGCCAAGCTGGAGGCAGGGTTTAGGGTTTAGGGTTAAGGGCTTAGGGTTTGGGGTTTAGGGTTTAGGGTTTAGGGTCCAGGGTTTAAGGTTTAGGGGTTTAGGGTTTTCGGGTTTAGGGCTTAGGGTTTAGAGTTTAGGGTTTGTGGTTTAGGGAGGCTTTGGGGGGGTTTTAGCGGGCTGTAGGGGGGGCTTTAGGGGGTTTTGGGGGGCTTTCGGGGGTGGCTTTAGGGGGCTTGAGGGGGCTTTAGGGGCTTGAGGGGGGCTTCAGGGGCTTTAGGGTGTTTGGGGGGGTTGTAGGGGTTGAAAGGGGTTTAGAGGCTTTAGGGTTGCAGAGCTTCAGGGGCTTGCATTACCACACCTTAGACCTCAGACTCTTGGTTAGGGTGGGGGGGGGGGGGATATTATATGACTTCAAATAGCCGGTCGCCAAACCCTAAACCCTAAACCCTAAACCCTAAACCCTGAACCCTAACCCTGAACTTTGAACCCTAAAGTCCCAACCCCAAGCCCAGCCCAGTTTTGCCAGGCTTTGAAGCAGCCGCTTTGCCGAAGCTTAGGGTTGAGGGTTTAGGGTTTAGGGTTTAGGGTTTAGGGTTTAGGGTTTAGGGTTTAGGGTACTGGCTTGACAGGCCATCCGAATGTTACTGGGTAGGTAGTTGTAGACAGTGTTGGAGTGGCCTAACAAGGTTGCCAGCATTGAATGGGAAGTTCCCCCTTATACTAACAGCTCCCTAATAGGGATTATACTAACATCTCGTGAATAGGGATTTTGCTAACATCTCCTTAATAGGGATTATGCTAACAGCACCCTAATAGGGATTATAATAGGAGGTACTAGACTATAATCCCTATTGAAGACTGTTAGGAGAAGGGGGAACATCCCCAAGCTTTGATGACGCAGCTGTAGCTACCGTGCAGACGAGGACTGCGCATTGAGAACCTTGCCCGCTGAAGCATGAAACAGGCCCGCTTTCAACTTAAGCCCCAAACGTCTAAACCTTAAACCCCAAGCCTAGCAGCTGAGATTGCAACCCCCCACTAGACCAACTCTATCTGCGCTCTGCCTCTGTGCCCAAACGTGATTTGAAGCTTCATTTTGGGTACAGTTATAAGCTCAGTTATAATTGGTTAATAAGTGCCATGAACCTCCAAGTTTCAACACCCTAAGCCCTAAGCCCTAAGCCCTAAGCCCTAAGCCCTAAGCCCTAAGCCCTAAGCCCTAAGCCCTAAGCCCTAAGCCCTAAGCCCTAAGCCCTAAGCCCTACGCCCTAAGCCCTAAGCCCTAAGCCCTAAGCCCTAAGCCCTAAGCCCTAAGCCCTAAGCCCTAAGCCCTAAGCCCTAAGCCCTAAGCCCTAAACCCTAAACCCTAAACCCTAAACCCTAAACCCTACACACCGGAGCCAAGGAAGGCTCTGCTGGGACGCCGCGCCTCACTGCCCGTCGACTGGGCGAAGCCGAGGGGCGCTCCTTGGGTTCAATCTGAGCTGTTCACTCAAAAATGGGGGGTTTAGGGTTGGGGTTTAGGGTTTAGGGGTTTAGGGTTTAGGGTTTAGGGTTTAGGGTTTAGGGTTTAGGGTTTAGGGTTTAGGGTTTAGGGTTTAGGGTTTAGGGTTTAGGGTTTAGGGTTTAGGGTTTAGGGTTCCCAGCCGATGTTGGCTTGAGCTAGTTGCCGCAGCGCAGCAGCCTGCAAGTTCAACCACCACGACCAGTCCACCCTAGACCTGGCAGCCCGAAGGGGTTTGAGGGGTTTAGGGTTTAGGGTTTAGGGTTTGGGGTTTAGGGTTTAGGGTTTAGGGTTTGGGGTTTAGGGTTTAGGGTTTGGGGTTTGGGGTTTAGGGGTTTCCTGGGTCTAAAGTCTAAAGTCTGATGCGCTGCGCCAGCGCTGCTGACATTTTTCCTTTGTTCCGGGCAGGCAAACCCATGGCAGCCCAACAAAGCACCCGAAGCCCGAAAAACTGAACCCTAAGCCCCTAAACCGAAACCCTAAACCCTAAACCCTAAACCCTAAACCCTAAACCCTAAACCCTAAACCCTAAACCCTAAACCCTAAACCCTAAACCCTAAACCCTAAACCCTACCCCTAAACCCTAAACCCTAAACCCTAAACCCTAAACCCTAAACCCTGAACCCT